CCCGTAATATTTACCAAAATCAACATATATTTTTATTGGACAAATAGATTTTCACGATTTACCATTAAAATATAATTCGATTAATACGCTCGATTAACCCGTACGACGTTTTTTACACAAATTTTCGATAACGAATTCGAATCAGGTGAGTTGGGATGGGGGGGGGGTCGCGTTTGCGTTAAGCTCGAATTAAAACAAACAAACAAACAAAACAATAAAAGGTCTCTTAAAAGTTAGATTGTACTAACGAAATAATCTTTTTCTTTTTTAGTTTTATTTTCATTTTTTTCCGAGGAGAATTTATAACGACAGGGGGAGGGGTAGGGGAGGGGGAAGGTGGAAAGGAACGTTATGAAATTTAGTATGAATTTGAGTATCTTTAAAACGTGTGTGTGTGTTAGTTTCACAACTACGAACGACGAGTCTCTCTCTCTCTCTCTCTCTCTCTCTCTCTTCCTGTGTTCGAGATAAAATATTTCACGATAGAAAGAGAGAAAGTAATGGGATAGCAGGAAGAGCCCATACCAAGCCCTTTTCAAGGATAAGGCTATTGGAATCTGTCGATCCACTTGGCTGATTATTGGTATTGTGGTCTTTTCAAGGAGCACGGGCTCGTTTTCTTCGTTCTCTCATCGGCACAGGGTGGAATCGAACAATTCGTATAATTCGTACGTGAGTTCTCTTATCTCGAATCGATACAACATAATATTTGTGACTTTGTCTCTATTACACTATCACAAATTGTATTTTTTATATATATATATATAATTTTATTAACAACGTAAGAATAATATGGGTGAGATGTAACACATAATTTGGTTAACAATATTATATAAGTTCAATATTTATGATGTTATTTAAATAATTACGTTTGTATATGAAATAATGTTTGATATTTGTATATTTAAAAATGTAATTATTTTTCGAGGGAATATTTGAGATATCATTATTTGAAGTTAACGTTTGAAATTTAGTTGAGATAATAGTAAGCAAAATTAAACAATTTTTAATTATTTATTGTACATATACAATATATCTGTGTGTATAAGTACTTTAATTGGTTACAATAAAATCGATTATTTTATTATATTTTAAGTATGTTACTTAATTACGTAAATTTTTTACATTTGTTATATGTGGAATTATTGATTAGCATAAGTGTTATTTTGATAATATTAGAAATGGATCTACGTTCTGTTCGTATTTTGGGATTATTGTCCGATATATTTAGATTATATTTGTATTTATCGCAAATGACATCTATTTATTAATTATGCGTAATGAGTAATCGCGTCGGTAGTAGAAGGGAACGTTAAAGTATTTACTTTTCGTTAGTTTACCTTTAGGTTACGTCTAAGACATCGCAGTGCTTAGCATATTTGCATCAAAGGAAACGTTCGTGGCATCCTACCCGAGGAAATGCCAAAGGTCAGTCGAAAATTTAATAAGTAAATTACTTTAGCTAGGGGAAAGAGAAAGCTTTCTCATTCTGGGGGGGGGGGGGGGGGTGGGGGAGAAAAAAAACAAATAAGAGGTGAGGTTTATTTTACACGGGGGTGTATGTATCCTATCTTCTTCGATGTTATCGTTGTAACTTATCGAATATCATTTTTTACATTTAACATTTAACATTTTTTTTAATTAAACTTTGGATTATAATTATATAACAATTATTTAATATCATTAAATAATTGAATCAATTAACGATAGAACACGTTTCCTAATCTTATTGTATTTTAAATTAATGTCCAAACGTGAATATATCGGAGACCCTGTAATACGCCAAATTTCTGAACTATGATCAACTATGTAAGAAGATGGGCTTGTATAGTTTCCAAGTGGAACTTAAGACCCGCGTGTCCCACGAATACCTGTCTTGGATTTTAGTAAATTCAAAGTCACGTACCGGTACACGCAGCCACGAACCTTTCGCGTCTGTTAACATTCTCTCTGCTAACGATGCAAAACTTTAAATAAAGTACTCTACTTGTAACATTGTTATTATGTATTGTTATTATGTATCTTATCTTTCTTTATATATATATGTGTGTGTATGTATATACTTTTCTTTCTGACTATTGACCCTATTTTGCAAATTGTTCTTTTTTTCTTTTCTTTTCTTTTTTTTTTTTTCTTTTTACGAACGAATTTATTTAAGACGAGTACAATTCGAATCGATCGTATTCGCGAAAAGCTCTCATCTTTAAAGATCTGACACAAAGGGGGAAGATTTGGGGTACGTGGTTTGAGATAATCAATAACTCGGTTATAAACTTCGAAGGGTGAACGTGTTTCGATGGATTAGTAGTTTTATAAGGTTCTTATATTATATGCTCCTTATATTTTATTTATTATTATTAATATTTGTGTCATTTATTTTGTTATAATTAATCTAACCGTTTGTTTTTTTTTTTCCTCATAAAATGTTTTTTATGATAATGAACAACAATTGACAAATGAACCAAATAACGGTTCATTCTCGTTGTTTATAATATTATGTGATAAAAAATATGAATTATATTTTTATTTTACTTTAAAATACAGAAGGAAATGTGTAAAAGAATCGTTTTTTTTACGAACATTTGTATAAATTTCGATAACCCGAGACTTACATATGGTTCCTCTAAAACAGATGCCACGTAAATTCGTACCTTTTCATTCTTACACCTAAGGTGTTCGATCTCAAAAGTATACGAAAAATATTTTTTGACCATTCATTTGTGAAAACGTAGTTTTCTATTCGTGTCTCGTATTACTTTGAATTTTCTCTTTTTGCATTCTCGTCACACGACACCCGGAACACCGCCCATAAACGTACGTATGTAATCCTTGTTGAAACTAGCATGGCATTCAAAGTAATTAGGGTGGTGTTTTACAAAAAGACTTCGAGGGGAATAAGGTGGACCACAAAATACTATTGCTATCCTGGTTATTAAGGGGGATGGTGGAAAAATGCTAAAGCTAACTTTCATTGGTAAGTTCGGTGAGGTAACATTATCGTAACGGGATACGGGTTTGCATTAGTCAGTTTATTCGTAAACTTCATTTGAAAGATATAAATGTTCTATGGGGTGAGGGGATGTGGAAGGGATTTTTTGTTGGGGGGGGGGGGTACCTCATTGTATCGTTTAGTTCGATATTCCTTTATATCGAAAAGAAAGAAAGAACTCATACGTTTTGTAAGAAAATGTGTGAATATTTAGAAAATTAATTTAACATATTTTTTATTTTTTATTATTTTCTTTAGTAATAAAGATTTCGATTTATTTTTATAATTGTCCAAGGTGAACACATTCGACAGATTCGTAATTATATCTGTAATAATATATTTTAAGTATTTCCTGTGTTTAATCTTCTAGGATATATTTTCTTCTTCTTTATTGGGATCATTTATAATTAGGTGATTTCTTGATCTGACATTTTGTATCTATTACACAGATTATTTTTTGAATTTGTTCCTTACGTATTTATTAAGGATCGTTAAACTATAAATTGTTGTATTTCAAATTCGATTATATGACAATAACAATCATAAACGATATAAGAAAATAAACGTTACACAAACATTTTTTTTATTTTAAATTAAATAGAAACTTTGTGCCGATCCATCGTCTCGAACATCGCGAACTCGAGTTTGCTATGTTAAGAGATAAAATGATGAAAAAAAGAAACCAAACAAAAAAAAAAAGAAAAAGAGTATTATAGTCAATCGTTTAAGTTAGAATGTTCCTTACCACCCTCCCCCCCCCACCCCCCACTAGCCCCTTCTACCCATTCTTCGATCATCGAGCGTTTTAATCGAAAATGATAAGCGATCAAACTCACGATTGAACAGAACGTAAAACGTTTGCGATGCCGATTTAATCGCGATTGAAATGTTGAAACAAAAGAGATAGGATAGGATACCTAGGGGTTTTTTATTTCTTTTTTTTTTTTTTCGATGGTTGTGAACGTTGAGAGGAGAAGTTTAAAGGTGGTATTCGTTCGTTCGTACGTTCGTACGTTCGTTCTTGGGGACTTATGATGAGACAGAAGGAAGGATCGCGTGAAAGATCACGTTCGTTTCGAAGTCATCCCTCGCAATCATCGATGTCACGGTGCGATTAAGATCCATCGTGATAAAAGTCGCAATCGTTCGTCGATAGTAAGCTGTTATTACGTGTCTCATTGAAAAATACTATGAAAAAGAATAAATAAAAAAGAAGAAGAAGAAGTTTTCGTCTCGTAAAATGATACTACGAGAAAAAAAAGAAATAACACCATGCATGTTGTGTAGGTATACACATGATTTGTTACTTCCTATTCAATGAAATATGAAAGAACGAGTTGGATTTCCGTTGGATAATAATTAACGGATATTTATATATATATATATATAATATTGGAAAATCATGAGAGTTGATCTCGTCGTTTGATTTCTAATAGAAAATAATCTAAGAACGATATTCGAATGGAACAGTAAACCAGCTTTTAAATTACGTGTCATTTGTCGTGAACGTTATAATATATCGGTAAGAACACGAGAAGAACATAATTGCGTTAAGTTTTTAGATGATAGCGAAAGTTAAACGTTTATAGTTCGTTTAAAACGAGTAGTAGTCATAATCGAGATACCTATTATTATTATTAATTGGATTATACTTTGATTAAGAAAAAAATCACCGCCGTTTCTGTTCGAATTAAATAATTATTTACGTAAATATATATATATATATCTATCGATGATTTCCTATAATCGTATAATTAATTCATTTTATTTATAATACAATTTTTATATAAATTTGTATAAAGAATATAAACAAAATTGTTAATTTTATTAACTATAACAATATAAGATGTATATGTTCGCGTTAGAGAATCTATAAAATTACAAAGTATATCTAGGGTTATTCTAGTTATTTCCTAAAGAACGATTTTCTTTCAAAAGTAAATAAGAAAAAAAAAGAAATGAAGAAATAAATAAAATAAAAGAAAGAAAGAAAAGTGTATCGAATTCTTACCACATGGATGCCTTCGGTGTCTCTTCTGAGATCACCGCTCCTCTGGCCCGCCGTGACGGCTGCGCTCAGGTGATTATAGTGATGCTGATGAAGCGTGTTCAATGTCTGCGTGTAGGGATCACCGACGAGGTAATCCAGGTGTTGAGGTTGCCCAAGACCCGGATGCTGTGGGCTAGCGGGCGCGTGATGATGCGACGGGAACGGCGGTGGAAAGTATGGGGGTTGAAAGTCCGACGCCGTTGGCAAAGATGCACCACCGTGATGGGGCATTCCGCCACCGTTTCCATTCCCCCGATGACCATGGTGATGAGCACCAGAGTATGGCGACGAATTTCCGCCGCCGAGCGAAGAAATGCCACCATGACCAGTCAATCGGTCCTGCGAACAAAACACATTAAACTTTTTTTTATTTCGAGTAATTGTTTTATCGGTGTTCAATCGAATTTATTATTACGACTATAGTGATTTGTTTCATTACAATTAACAATTATGAAATTTAATAATGGAATCCTATAATGTTAATCTTTTTTATTTCGAGTTATTGTTTTATCAGTTCAATCGAATTTATTATTGCGAATATGGTGATTTGTTCATTACGATTAAATTGTAATGGTCAATTGGTTTTGCAAACAGAACACGTTAACCTTTTTTTTATTTCGAGTTATTGTTTTATCAATGTTCAATCGAATTTATTATTACGAATATGGTGATTCGTTTTATTATAATTAACAATTATGGAACTTTATAATGGAATCCTATAATGTTAATCTTTTCTATTTTGAGTAATTGTTTTATCAATGTTCAATCGAATTTATTATTACGAATATAGTGATTTGTTTCATTACGATTAACAATTATGGAACTTAATAATGGAATCCAATAATGTTAATCTTTTTTATTTCGAATAATTGTTTAATCAATGTTAAATAGAAACAATTGTGGAGGGAATCAAATAATGATCAATCGGTCCTGCGTGGACACAACACGTCAACCTTTTTTTATTTCGAATAATTGTTAAATTAATGTTATAACAGAATTTGGAACCGTGAATATGACGATTTGTTTATTACTATTAAACAATAATAGAGAATCCGATAAAATGATCATTTTATTTAAAGATTTGTCGAGTAAGTTATAGTAAAGTAAAATAATTAATTGATACCTTTCAAAACTCTTGATAAATTTGTTCTTTATATAATATCACATATATCATACAGTTAATATTTTAGATCGTGATTTAAATGAATGAATATTAAATCGATCGTTTTAATATATCGAAAGTTGTATACAGATCAAAGATTAGTTTCGTTTTAAATATACATTTCTAACTATTGACAAATTTAAATTATAAATTACAAATCATTATATTTATTATATCATTTACATTTTACTATATATACACATTTACAATTATTACAATTAAATAAAAAATATGAAAGATTCGTTATCGAATAATAAGTTGATCACGAATAAAATAAAATAAAAAACAAAAATAAGAAGAAAGATCTAGAAAAATTTCTTTATTATTATTATTTATTTATACTCCGTCCCTTTCAGGTTTCGAGGGCTTTCGATATACTTTTCCTTTTTACATAAATTCAGAAATTCAAAAATTCAAACAAACAACTATTATATAGAAAACTTTCTTTATAATAACAAATTAACCAATCAGATAAATAAATTATCGATTTGTCGACATACATCGACACTTTCTTTAAACACAATTCTGATTCACGATGAAATAATACCGATTTCTCTCGATCTCGACGATCGTAGAGTGTATTAACTCACTACTAAGATAATATCGTGAGTCTTCGTATCTGTAAATCGGGGGAAAGGCTTTGCTGCTTTTGCTTCGGCTAAGAACGAACGAATGAACGAACGAACGAATGAAAGAACGATTCGAGCCATTAGGTGTCTCTTTCTTTCTCTTCAATGCGATACCATCTCGAACGTCTTTATAAACCGAGTCGGTGTAAAAGGGCTAAATCTCCGTCTACTTTTATCTATACCGACGTATCTGTTTGACGTTCTTCTAACTATCTGTGTATAAAATGTTACGAACGTGTTACAACTCTTCAAAGATTTTTCGGTGAGAATCTATTGACAAGCACATAGCGTAATTTGTATTAATCAAATGTTTTATTTCCACACACGTTAAATCATCTAATTATTTGTTTCTAATTCGTTTCAAAAATTACCGTTAGTTTTCATTCATATTTCGTAGAAATAAACAGGATCTAAACGATACGAAACGAAACGAAACGAAACGAAATGAAACGAAACGTAAATCCCGTACCAAAAAGAAACCTTTTACGAGATTGTTAAGAAAGATTGGCCCAATCTTCCGAAAGGGATAATTTTTCTCTTTTCGGTGTTGCTTTATGACCGTGGAACCTGTTCGCGAGAAATTCTTTCTCCTACGGGAGCACCCGGCTTCTCCTTTTATCGACGAACGAAATTTGCCATGTTTTTTTCTGTTTCCTTTTTTTTTGGTAGGGAGGGGGGGGTTTATTACCAAAACGATCGACAAAGTCAATGATCCTTCTTCCTTACAAATCTTCTTCCCAATCGTCCGGTTCTTAAGATAAGAGAAAATATTCAACGTTGTTAAATATTAAATTGTTTCTCTCTTTTTATTTTTTGCATTATCAGATTATATTTTAAATGAATCAATGCGAGTGATTTGAAAAGCCGTCAATCGATGCATTTCCTTAATTTTTTGAATTTCGATTTGATTATATCGGAAATATATTTGGAATGTCTATAAACGATAAGAATCACGTGATACTAAACGAAATCTATCTATTTAGTTTCGATTAAATATTCGATATCTCTTAATGACAATTTAAATACGTCGTTTCGGAAAAATTAAAAGAAAATTGAGAAAATTCGTTGATGAAAAAAAACTCACGTTTGTCTAAACGTTCGAGAATTATTCATTTTCATTTTCATATTTCTTTTTTTATTTTTTTTAATAAAACTTATTGTAAAACCCGAAGGTTTTTGATCAATGAAGACAAATTTTATATATTACCCGTTATTATAATAATAATAATTATTATTATTATCATTATCGTTGTCGTAGTCATCGTCATTTGTAATATTATTAGAGAGAGAGAGAGAGAAGATGTTTTAGGTTCATTTACTAGAGAACAAATTATCAAAATCGGCATCGGTAAAATTTCAAAATAATTTTGTTCATTCTTTCTATTTCTCTCTCTCTCTCTCTCTCTCTCTCTCTCTCTCTACAATTCGTGGAAATAAAGAGAGAGAGAAAGAGAGAGAGAATTCATTAAATATTGAAAATAACCGGTAGTTAGAAAACATCTTTATGAGTACATATATACATAATTTTTCTAGGATTTTAATAGCTTTTAAATAAACACGTTTTATAGCGGTACTAACGCGTAACGATTTCTTTAACGAGTACCGCGTTCATATATATCGACATTATCGGAAACGAAATAACTACTGTTGTATTATATTTAACGAAAAAAAAAAGAACAAAAAAAAAACAATAACACAACGTGGACGTACTTACAAATTAATACAAAGTTTATTTTTTTTTTTTTTTGCAGAAAAGAAAAAAATCAAAAAAAGATCCACATTTAATTGCAGCTCGGACCAACTTTCATTGAACTTTTTTTCTTGCTTTATTTCTCTCTCTCTCTAATTGGAGGAGCGGGGGGGGGGGGGGGTTGATACCAATTATGTTTTAAACTACCGTTCGATCGTAAAATTAGAAATTAAAAGATTTCACGCGAGATAGTTATATTGACGTATAAAGACAATGAAAAAATTTAAATTGAAATATTTATTACGATTTATACGAAAAGTGTGTGGTATCTTCTGTTTCTTATGATCGATCGATTGATAAAAATAAGAAAAATAATAAATTGAACAAATTCTTTAACACGTGCGTACACACACGTCAAGAAATCTTACTATACGATGATTATCGTTTCATGTTATGTTAAATTAACGGAAATTCATTATTTTTTACGTTTAAATAAATTTACGTGTTGAATTACTTTTTCTCCGAAATCTAACAGAATCTTTTTATTCAAATTTTGTTCTAATCGTATTGACAGTTTACAAACTCGTAGGAAAAAAGTTAGAAAACGATGATTATTGTTTCATGTTATGTTAGATAAACGGAAATTCATTATTTTTTACGTTTAAATAAATTTACGTGTTGCATTTCTATTTTCCCTAAATGTATAATAGAATGTTTTTATTCAAATTTTGTTCGAATCGCATTGACATTTTACAAACTGGTAGAATAAAAGTTAGAAAACGATGATCATCCAGTCACATTACGTCAGGAAGACGAAAATCAATTATTTTTTTATGGTTAAACAAATCTACGTATTGAATTACTTTTTCCTCGAAACCTAATAGAGTCTTTTTATTCAAATTTTGTTCGAATCGCATTGACATTTTACAAATTCGTAGGATAAAAATTAGAAAACGATGATCGTGCTTTCACATTACGTCTGGTAGACGAAAATCAATTATTTTTTACTTTTAAATAAATCTACGTGTTGAATTACTTTTTCCCTAGACCTAATAGAATTTTTTTATTCAATTTTTGTTCGAAACGCATTGACATTTTACAAACTCGTAGGATAAAAGTTAGAAAACGATGATCATGCTTTCACATTACGTCTGGTAGACGAAAATCAATTATTTTTTTATGCTTAGACAAATCTACGTGTTGAATTACTTTTTCCCTTAGACCTAATAGAATATTTTTATTCAATTTTTGTTCAAATCGTATCGACATTTTACGAACTCGTAAAAAGTCGAAAAAACTTGTAAGGAAAAAAGGCAAGAAAACAGAAATGAAGAATATAAAAAAGTAGCGGGACGGGGTGGTGAGGAGAGGGGGGACTAATGAAGAAAATATCCCACCTCAACTTCGATGACCGTGGTCATGTCAACGTGCGGCGCATAACAGAGCGCCAGCTTGTCGGCTGTTGGCGCTTCCGTGCGCGGTGGAAACATCCCTAGGATCTCCAGTTTGTCCTTTTTTTTATTTTGTTTTTTAGTTTCTTTTTTATTTAAATCTTTTCGAACTTCTTTGAAGGCGAAATCGATTGTACGAACAAACTATAACGATATATATATATATATATATATATAATTATAATTAAAGACCGATATTAGAAGGAAGATCGATCAACTGTGATGTAATACACTTATTATTATTATTATTGTTATTATTATTATTATTTTTTTTTTGTCGAATCTTCCTATTATCTTTCACACTTTCTCACTCTCGTTTGATCTCTCTTGATCTTCTATTTTCTTCTTCTTCTTCTTCTCACAACACAAGATTCACACAGCACCCCTCCTCATCCCTTTTCCCCCCG